GTGGCATTAATAATATGTCAAATTATAGACCCGTTTCAGTACTCTCGACATTATCAAAGGTTTTTGAAGGCGTTATTCACGACAGGTTGTTATCCTTTTTCAATAAGTATGGCATCATCACAACATGTCAGTATGGTTTTCAGAAAAACAAGTCTACTGAACAAGCGTTAACGATTATTAAAGATCAAATAATTACAAATATGGAAAATAAGAAATTTACGCTTGGTTTATTTTTGGACTTAAAAAAAGCCTTCGATTCAATACATTATGATATATTGTTACGGAAACTATCACGGTACGGCATACGTGGGGTCACCCTTAAGCTATTACAAAACTATTTGCATAACCGGTACCAACTAGTACAAATGAAGACAGCCACATCAAGTCGGCTTCAGTTGACCCAAGGAGTTCCGCAGGGTTCTATACTGGGTCCTTTGCTCTTTTTGCTTTATGTTAATGATATTGTATGTATACCCGCCTCACCACAGCTTATTATGTATGCAGACGACACAAATGTATTTTTCACATCAGATCACTTAGAAATACTAGAAAAAAATGTAAATGAATATATGACGTCACTCTCAAACTGGCTTAAACAAAACAAGCTACAGTTAAATGCCAAGAAGACGACATATATTATATTTCGCCCAATAAATAAACATGTTAAATATGACATAAAGATAAGCTTTGACGGGAACATCATAAAACGAGAAAAACATCAAAATTTCTGGGGGTATGGTTCAGTGAAGACTTAACGTGGAATGTCCACGTTAATCATTTAGTTAGGCAACTTGCGGGAACGGTAGGATGCCTGTACAGAATTGGTTCCCTCATTCCTCAGTGGCTGAAGAAAAATTTGTACAATGCCCTATTCTATTCGAGACTTTGTTACGGCGTACTAGTATGGGGTACCACAACAGCGAAAAATTATAACAAACTTATAATGCTACAAAAGAAAATACTTCGCTGTTATGAAAATTACCAGGGTAGAATAGACCGTTTGCGCACTTCAGTGCTCTTTGATAAACATGAAATCTTAAAGGCAAACCAAATATATTATTTTAAACTGCTTCAAGAGGTACACAAAAATAAGTGGTATAAACAAAAAGAAAATGACCAACGTTATCCTGCAAGAAGAAACTTACAGCGTTTACCGAGAACCAGGACAAATTACGGAAAGCAAACACTGCATTACCAATCAACGCGAATAGTAAATGAATTCCAAAATGGCTTGCAGTTTGACGTCAGCCTAGGGACATTTAAAAAACAAGTTAAAGAAATTTTGATCAAAAAGAAATAACTTATCATCACTAATCTATATTGTGTAAAAAGAGTAGGTAGAATGTTAATGTTAAGAAAGTAAGTAGTTCATTATGGTATACGATGCATCCATTTTATGTTCCTGCATCTGTATTATGCTAAGTGTATTATATGTTGCTTGTTCTTTTTTATTCCTGTATTTCTTTTGTTAGCGCTCATGTGGTACATGACATGTTAGTTTTTGTTGCTTGTTTGTATCTGCAAAAAAAAAAAAAAAAAAAAGTGCATCTGTGACGAACTACAGGTGCAGAGGCCTTTGTCAGGCGTATGAAACGCCTTTTGCTTCTGTATCCTTTTTCTTGCCTTTCAAGAAATAAAATAAATTACTACTACTACTACTACTACTACTAGAAAGCAGGCGTTCGAACAGGGGTTCACGCTAGGTGGTTGCAGCTGCCTCGAAAGCATAAGAACAAAGAATTAAATAAAGCAAAGGCGAAGCATGCGCAATGTAGCATTTTAATTTATTATGTACGATTTATTATAAACTTATTTTCAGTTGGATGTTTTTGGATACATATCCCACTAACTTAAGAATCCTGCCACCCGGTTCGAAGGCCGATCCCCATTTGTGGGTCAGTAACAGTATAAGGTGAAATAACCAACACTAGGGAACGAGAAATGCGACGGGTGTTGAAATTAAGAGTGTTGAATTAAATGTTTTATCTATTACTTATAAAACCGCTTCATAGTTTGTACATTTGAGTCAGAATCGAAATTTCATTCTAAAATTCGGCTGGTGGGTGCTGGCACCCTTCCAGCCGATCTTGCTCGCGCATTTCAGCCAGATCAGCAGCCTTGGTGACGTCGCATTACCGGAGCATGTCTTTTGGTGAATGGCTGGTTGAAAACGTGTTCGGCAATAGTCGCAGCAACCTGCAGCGACTCGCAGCTTTAAAGCGTTGTAATAAATTAGACAGCTTACGCAGAGAGCTCAAATCCGTCTGCAAACGGCGCTTAAGACTTCGTCTACCGGCCCAATGTGTTTAAACAATCGTCAAAACCATTTCAGCGCCCCATTAGGTTGATGTCGCGAGGCATATATTTTCGCGGCACGACAAGTTCTAGGCTATATGAACGCTTGATATTTATATATGATAATGGTGCGCGCACGCGAGTTCATCTCCCAGGTTACCTCGGCTTCACTGTATCGCGTCAGTACTATTTCAAACAGTGAGTGATGGGTGGGGTGATTGGAGTCACTCCCCCTCGAAACTTTTGCCACTTTGCACGATGCATTCACACTTGCACTTACGCATTCACAAAGATAACGTACTGCTCACGGCTCCCCCCCCCCCTCCCCCCAAAAAAATAATCTACTTCTCGAATTGTATTTTCGATATCACCCTCGAATACCAACCAGATCGCACAAAAGCGTCACTGACCGTGGCAAGGCACTTCAGTTCTTCATCCAACGCCGCCACTGCAGCTGCACCGAGAAGCAAAATAAGGAAAAAAAAAAAACAACGATACCCGTCACGTCAACCTAAGAAGCGCGTTTCCGTGCCCCAAAGGGGGCAGCAGCGCGATTCACAGCAGTCACGTCACCCGAGCATAAACGTCGCGCATGGCGGCGCCACTGGGCCGAGCGGCACGTCACTGCGGTGGTCTTTAGCAAATAGTGTTGAAGTCAAAATGGTCCGCACCGCGTCGCTGCAGTGCAACTTAAAGGCACACTAAAGGCAAATGACAATTTGTCAGTGAAAGCTTGATATATGACGTCTAAAACAGCAGTGCCTTGTATAACACGACATGCGCCACAAGTGGACATTCGCGAAACCGATCCCTATGAAGTGAGAGCGTCTTACAATTAATCACCAGTAATCAAACTAGCTACAATAAAATAAGAACTTTCAGTGCACCGAGAGACATACTAAAACTCTGCTTGACCGTTTGTTTCATTTATAGAAAGAAAAAAAAAAAACACCTAGCGTTCCTATAGGGAATGGCGCGAATGGTTCAAAAGTTGTTTTCGGTTGGTTACGCTGGATAAGTGGTGCCATCTAGCAGGTCCCAGTCAACCCAGAGCAAGCAGAACCATGACCTCCAAGATTGCAGTAAATTGAATAACCCTTCTTGCTACTGTGGCTCCCGCTACTTTGGCTCTGCTGCTACTGGTGTCAGCGGCCTCGTAGTAAAGGCAGGCAAAATTGGGCACGGAAACAATGACGTCCGAGAGTCCGCTTCGCGCGGGTGACTTGAAGTGCGGTAACGCGAAGCGGACCATTAAAACGCAATTTTGTTTGATAAGCACTTGATTGGCACGAAAGTAGCACTACGAAGTTTCTGAACCACTATCAAATATAAACGTCGACTTAATACTTGCATTTAGTGTCACTTACCAGCAGTTACGAATGACAATATAGCAGCCACCTCTTGAACAAAGGCTAAACGACCTGAGACCAAGGAAGCGGACAGGATGAGGTCTACTCCCACCTGAATGTTATTTTGCAAACGTTCCAACACCTGACCGGTTTATTAAGAAATGAGAAGGCTCGAAGTGCCTTTTTCACCCCCAAAGCCAATCAGGCTTCAAAACGTCGAATTTCCGAAAATTTTTGGTTGGATTTTCTTTTTCTCAAGTTTGCAACCCAACCAGGCAGACTGCTGCTGCTTGTTCACCTTTGGTTATCGGAATGAATGTTCAATGGGTGCAGTATATGAATATCACTTGCACCTTGACTGATGTCTTATCTAGGGCACACTGAGTGTCAGTTATGTGAGCAAAAAATAATAATGAAAGTGATGAAAGCACAACTTTACACTAGTGAAAACACGGAATTGTGGTTGAGGATTTTCAATAGACACAGTAATAGAAGTATGTACATAGCCATCGCATGATTATAACAAATAAAGATGGACATTGAACTGATACAAAGAAAGTGTCATGCAGGAGTCTAAACAGCCCGATGACGTGGCACAACCATTCCCAAACATGCCCAGGTAATATCTTATGTTCTGCCAGTGAGCTACCTTTGAGCTGGAAGTGAGTCAATTCGTTATTCATTTGTCTCCATGCACAACTTTTCTCAAACACGAATGGTGTATGAACAGATATGAGACCAAAAAAAAAAGTTTGAAAAGACAAAAAAACAGGCAGGACCTGTGCCGATGCTGAACATAGACTATACACAAAAAAATGTGGAAACGTTGGCTAGGGTGAGAAAGGACCAAGACATCCAAGGGAGTTCCAAGGAGCCAAGACATCCAAGGGAGTCGACATCCGAGACATCCAACCAAGACATCCAAGGGAGTCGCAAGGGAGTTCTGCAGCACCAAATGAGATGTAGAAGACCGTTTTTCTGTGAACACTGATGTGTCGTGCACCTTCTGTACATTTGTTCCGCGATGAACATGAATGTGTGCTATGTGCTACAGAGTCATTGAATGTTCATTCAAGCATTTTATAGAAGACACGAAGCACACCTGTGTGGCTGGCATACTCTTCGTGTTGCCCATGCGAAAGCAGAAAAATACCTCTAGACATTGGCAGCGAATTGCTTTTATTAGATTCCTGACCCGTCATGATTTCAGCTCTGTTGATGCTGCAAGGACGTATAGCACGGGCACTTGGTTCCCCCGAGTAAAGGCCTATAAAAATGGGCAAATCAGGGACAAATAACTGCCCACGCCTTATAATTTCACCAACTTATAAGACCAACAGCTTAAATTACAAAAGAGTGGCTAAATAACAGCCTCATGTCGTTGCCACACATCTGCATAGGACAGCGGCAAAAGCCTGCTGGACGCCACAAAAATAAAATGCACCCACAAGTACCACGTCTTGCAAGCTGTACGGTAGTTGCGACACGATGATGTCCAAGATTTCAGCGACAACAAAGGCGTCGATTGTGTTGCAACAATAAGAAATATAAATACTGTACACAATTTATACACTGCCTTCCTCAAGAAATCTTGGTACTGCATTGAACAGCGCTACAACTGAACAGCGCTGCGTGTAGATTTACGCTATTGCTGTCAGGAAAGCACACCGTGGCCATTTTTGGCTGCAGATAGTGCAATGCACTGTGCTGCATTTACAAGACAAAGAGCTTGGCTTCGTGCTTGTGGCCGCAGGTGAACACAGCGGCCTGTCAACGCAACATGTATCCTCAGGATGAAATCCTTGATCCTTGTCGAGAGGTTCAAATGTTGAGGCATTGTTGACGATCAACACACCTCCACGTGTGCCAGTTCCCCTAAATGTTCTAACATTCTTGGGCGTTTATACGCATGTTCCATCGCAGAGGAGCACTGGTCGCACGGCACAAATTTTGTCCACAATGTCAACAAGGTCAGTACACTTCAACTTCAGCAACAAGCCTCCCAAAATCTTGTTAAAATATACAAAGAAAGCAAGCATGACTATGTACAGTAAATATATCTGAAAAAATAAAAAAAAAACGTGGGCCAGCACTTGACGGAAGCCAACAGGAGTGTAAAAACTGCTTACCGTTCAGCACTGGCAATTAGGTACATTAAGAAAAGTCAATATAATGTGTTTTAAAACCATTCCATTCTTCAATCAAGACGTATAGACGTATGCTAGTAGCCTCAGGTTGGTCAATGTGACCAAGATAGATTAAAAGGCAAAAAGCGCCAGAAAAAAAAAAAAAACTTGCAGTCCTGGAACTCTGCTCACATGACGCGAAAAAATCGCATTAGGAGCGAAAATACTTTATCCATTTTAGTTTTGAAAATAGTCCATGCACAATAAAACCATATGGACTGTAGAAATGTAATTTTCCAGTCTTGATTTGAGAACAGTCACTTGTAAATGTGTGACGTAAGATTAAAAGGCAAAAAGCGTCGAAAAAAAAAAAACAAAAACATGCAGAGCCCTGGAGCTCGATTCACATGAGGGGAAAAAAATCATATTAGGTGCAAAAATGCCTTTTTACATTTTCAATTAGAAAATAGTCTTTACGCAATAAAACCATATCGACCTCCGAGACGTCATTTTCCAGGCTTGATTTGAGAACAGTCACTCATAAATATGTACATCCGGCCATTTCATGGCGGGTGCCGTCATTATGAAGTTTTTTTCTTTTAACAGGGCGGCATAGCCACAGGTTCAATGCATCCTGGCTGCTAGACATGTCGAAAGACATAATATGAACACTTGTTATAGAAGGCTGGGATGTTCGCACTTCACCGAGGACAGGGGGTTTCAGTGAAGCAAAGGGATCCGCGCTTTGGCAACTTCTTTGGCCACACGCACCACGCGTCGACACCCGTGCTGCCGTCACCTGCTCTGCAAACTACCGGCGCGTCTCGTCGGGCTCTTTTTCCTGGTAGTAGACGACACTGCGATCTGTACGGGTGCAAAGAGAACGTCACCAGTGCCCGAAGGACAACCACTGGCGGTTAGTTTATACACACAGCCGCCAGTCATGTTATTATTCACGTTTATTAATGCGGAATAAGACACACAACTACCGCTGTAGACACCATTCACTGTTTTCATAACATCAGTTTCAGAAAACATGCAAACAGATACAAAGAACACATGGTTAACAGAGAAATACTATATATGAAGTTGAATAAATATATATAAAAGATTACCGAGGTCAACTAAAGAGGTTAAATGGGTCATGACAAAATTTTGTGGCTGCAATAGCCTTCACGAAAATGCACGTAAAGCTGTGTATATCACCTACCAAACCTGAACAGCGAACCCAGCTTGGAAGGTAACACATGAATTTTGAAGTTTGCATGCCCGATCAAGTTTGCATGCCAGATCGCACAATGATCTAAGGAAGACTCCAAACTACCGCAATGTAAACACTGTGACCACCGCGCTCCAACATGCCGAGCTAAGTAATGACATCATAGTCACCATTAAGCTCTTGCTGTGATCGGCATTATTCAGTCAGAGGCTGCTCGCGAGTCCTTGCCCGCAATGAAAGTGTGGAAGCCTCAAGAAAGCCTGCTGCTAGGTGGTGATTACGTTAATGGCAATGACTGGGTGCTGCACATGCCACAGACAAGAGACCATGCAGGCAGTCCATAAGTAGGTCGAAGCTATGTGTGCCGCATAAAATGTTAGACGACGTTAGTTACATGCATAAGCTTGTCGTTCTCAGAGCTTTCCCAAGCCAAAACTGACACTAGCCGGCATAAACGAACATTAAATAAATATATGTTGCGCACTGCAGCAAGCGACGTGCCCTAGTATGTTTCATAGGCCTCCAGCAATATATTGCAGCGAAAGAAAAAATGCCACAAAAATTTTTGAGTCAGTACCTTTAATTCAAGGAAAAGTGAAGTCCTAACTTATGCTGAAATCCCACTGCCAGAAAATAGGTGCGAAGGTAAAAATTTGAACTGGTTTATTTTGATGCGTGCCTTTTACTACTGAGTGGGCTTTGGCTCTAAAAGAATGAGATACAACCATTTTTTTTTTTACCTACGACACAACGAGGCCTGTGCAGAAGCCTTAGAATTCATGACAGCCCGTCTCAAACTGTAGAGTGAACTTCCCGGTGGAGGCATCGTTTGATCTGTGTCACCTATGATGATAGGTAATGTGACAAGTTTGTCCAATATATCTCGAGCTAATTTCTTATTCACTGTTCTTGAAATGTGGACAAGAGCCCACCGTAAGCTCAGTAAAATGCCCTTTATGAGGTTACTACCGTAATACTTTCCAAATGTAAGGAAGATGCCAGCACCACACAGCTATCAGTCGTCAAAAAATTTCGATAAACAAAAAAATATAACTGTTGCTACATCGTCGAAATGTCAACTTGAACCAAACCTTAGAACGCAGCCAAATGTGGCACATGTATAACAACCGACACCTTAGAACGCAGCCAAATGTGGCACATGTATAACAACCGACGCTCAGTTCGCCGCTATCGATCGGTGCCAGTGTGTATCGCTGCAATACCACTTTCCGTTTATGGGCCACAAGCTCGGCTGAATATTGGACCATCAGTCTGCTCCCTTCGTTGACGTCACGACTCCGTAACAACACAATCATACCTAGCCGAATTAGGCACGGAACTGTGGCTGGGAAACCTGCCCAATGTTCTTTTGCTAAGCTAGAGCAGAATTGAAGTCCTGAACTGGACATTCTGCACAACCACCAGCAAGTTAATGTGAGATGCGCTTACACTCCTTCACAGTTAAAATAACAGAGAGATGAACTAGTATGTTTTAATTACAAAAGAAACAAGGCATGAAAACAGGCACACAAGAAGAAAGTCGGGTATTTGTGGTGTCCCGAGGTCCCCCATCACTTAAGTTTGCGAAAATGACACAAGGTATTTATGCATTCAGGAAGGAGACAGAAGCTGCGAGAGTTTACATTTGGCGATTCTCGTAACACAGACGCAAGCATGCACAAGACATGCCACACAAAACACCATGCTGCGTCAGTGTTTTGCATGCATGCATTTCTGAAGCCACGAGTCCTCGACAAGTTGCTCTGCTCTATGTTGCCGCACTTGCGGAAACATCTCGCTGCCTGCGACACTGCACGCAGTGTCATACATTCAATGGTGTGCACTGCCAAGACCCAAACCACCAAGTTAAACCCCGAAAGAGCCTTGACATTTTCAGAAGTATTCATTTTAAAATTGTCATAGTAAAAAAAACAAAACTTGGTAGGGAATATTTCTCCTATAACAAGCAAGTTTTTACAGTTTTTTTTAATAAAGAACCTGGAAGGTTAGGTTAGCTAATAGAATTACGTTGTTAATCACTCAAAGAAGACCAGCCACCAGCTAATAAACTATAAATGCTGTCAGATATTCTCAGTGTTCGGAGAATGTTTCCATCATTCTCACAACATTAATCATTATGACGAAGAAAACATTCTCCATTAGATGGATGAGAAAGCTGTTTGGAGACAATTTGCTTGGGATTATCCGGGAAAGGAAGGGGAAGCGGGGGCTCCAACGGTAGCAATGAATAGCGACTGCCCAAAAACTAGTCAATGCACGTGTGTTGCACTGTTTGCTTTCTGCTTATCGTGAAACTGTTTTTCTGACTGCATGATGTGCTACGCAGCAGATCATCTTTACATAAAAATGAGGCCAGTACATTACTCAGTAGAGACACTAATTAAGTGGCTTTTCAATTACAGTATTTGTAGATGAGTGTTCAACAATTGTTCGAACTACTACTACCAAATTTAGTCGCTTCTGTAGCTTTTGTCCCTGAACAGAGCATGAGAAGATGGCCAACGCACTGCAAATAAAGCTGCAACAGGGGCTAGCTGGTACAATTTCACGTTGTTATATGCCGCCAGCAAAGGCAAGTACTTAAAAGAAACTTGAAGAGCATAATTATGCCTCTGCAGATGATCTGCCCAGGCCATTGGCGTGTCCACTGCGCAGAATGTGAACGCGAGCTGGTGTTTTAAGACACAAAAGTGCCAGCGCACTCTAGTGGTCAGATAGAGAAGGAAATTACCGAGGCATTTCATGTGCACATCAGAGCAGATGCATTGGCGCTTCCTATATGGCACTTTTATAGAGAGTAACCAACTTTGTTTAATAGGTGACCATGTTGCAATGTGCATAATACAAGACGCATGCCGGTGGTGCTTTTCGACTCTGGAGGTTGATACACTATCGTCGACCATTTGAGATTGCTGACCTTTGCTTTCTTTCTCAAGTCATTTTTTTTTTGAGCCTGTACAAAAATCTTTCCAAGCTCGATTCAAAGTGAGTTGTTGGTTTACACAACACCCAGCATTGTCTTTCAGTTTTCTTCCAATCTTGCTATTACGGTGACACATTAGAAGATGAAATAATGCTCTACCACAGTACACTGAAGCCGCAATAATCATGGTTGATTACATAGGCAAATGCTTACGGTTTCCATCGTAGGCTGCTGTGGCTTGTTGGGACAGCTCTAGCTCGTTGCAGGTTCGCTTCCACACTACAAGAAATGAACAGAGCGGCGTCATCGGCATCTTGCTCAGCTGTGGTTACATGCAAATTCAAGCCGACACTTATTCCAACTGGGTGTTATACCGAGCGTTGTACATTACTGTGGCCAGGGCGTGGGTCGGTGTGCTGTCAGGCATCTAGTTACCTTTTTGCCACCCCTTCCCACTGGATGATCTATGCATGTTTTCAATCGTGAATAAACTTCAACCCCAGCAAGCAAGCCATCAGTGTGTGAGGTTTAACGTCCCATAACCACCATATGATTATAAGAAATGCCGTACTGAAGCGCTCCGAAAATTTCAACCACCTGGGGTTCCTAAACGTGCACCCAAATCTGAGCACACGGGTCTACAGTATTTTCGCCACCGTTGAAAATGCAGCCACCACAGCCGGGATTCGATTCCGTGACCTGCGGGTCAGCAGCCGAGTACCTTAGCCACTAAACCATCGCGGCGGAGCAAGAAAGATGAATCTCGAACACACACTAGAAACAGCAAAATTAAAATTGCGTTTTGAAACCATTACAATACAATGCATTCACTGCCACACTTGGCAATTTACCCATCTAAAATGCGTTTAGCACAGTTTATCCTCTTTTCTAGTATGCTTTCCACAGGAAGCTACAAATTTGCACACGTAACTATCATACTGTAGAGAACTTTTAGGAAGTTTGGCCATGGAACTCGCAACTGACAATGATGTACAATTCTGTTGCCCTGGGGTGCACCAAGCTGCAAACTGCTTAGTTTTCAGCCAGTGATCATTGCATGCCATTGAGTGGTTGGCGATTGTTTTGGGGTCTTCATTGTTTTTTCAATTTCGGTTTTCTATAGCGCAAATGTTTGCTCTTCTCAATTTTGCCACTTCGCTATTTCCATAGGTGTTTCACCTTTTGAAAGTACACGTTTCTGCTGCTCTTTTTGTTTTCTTTTTACTGGGCATCGCACACTTTTTAAGCTACCATTTTAGTCTTCGAATAGAGGCTTATCACCTGCATTTTGCTGGAATAAACATTTATTCATTCATTCATAGTCAAACTGTCACCTTGTTGGTCTATTTACCATCAAGTAGTCACGGAACTACTTTTTGCTGTTCCAGTACATGGTCTCGCTGCACGTCAAAGTGATCAAGATGCTCAGCAGATGAGGCCACAAATTTCATGTGGTAAACAAATACCGCATTCAGAATGCAACCAGGTTCTAGGAAACAGAGTCATGACATGCACCTACGATGACTACAAAAAACACCCATAGACAGGTACATTTCGCCTTAATAAAATGGCAAATTATTTTTTTTTCTGACTGTCTTTCCTCGCTCTACCTTTGCTGCCTTTAAGGTCACTTCCAGATATTTCTCCATTCTGTGCCTAATCACGAGCTGTTACCTTATTGACAGAGCTGTGTAAGAAAGACTCCAGCCTTAACTTCAAGGTCGGCATGTTTCCCAACTTTTGGCAACAGAAGGTTTTCCTGCTTCATATGGCGCTTAAAATGTCTCCCTGGTTTATAGAAATAGCAGGCCTTGAGAGATACGATGCATCTGGCTTATGTGCACATGATAATACCTCAGTCACACTGGCAAATTCAGCATCAATTTTGAGCGAGTGCATTTACACCACCAGAGTCTAACTTTGGCTATACTATAAGAAATAGAAGTGTACTTTGGAAATTATGGTGACTGGTGGCTACTTCAGTATCCCAACAGAAATTTGTTATTCCGACCAATGTTTCTGAAGTGATAATATGTTATATCTATAAGAAGCCTAAAGTAAACTGTACATACAAAAACTGCGGCTGCAGCCATGGTACAGCGTGCACTGGGCGTGCCCCCGACATCCGCGGCTGCAAACTGCCAAGAGGCGAGAAAGTAGTTTTTGTAGTATAGCACATTTTTATAAGGCAAAAGAATGTTCCCAATAACGCAAACGACAGCTTAAAAAAATCACACGGACTCCGCTTCGTCTAATGACTTATCTATTCTCGAGCCACTGGTAACGAGGCTAGACACTCCGTCGCAGCGAAGCTAGTTTCACGAACTCGCTCGCCTGCAAGTGCACTTTGCGGCGAGCGTCACTAAGCATTCCTGTGCAACGATGTGTGAATGACACTCGCAGCAAAGCGCACTTTCCCAATATGCACTTGTGTTGCCCTGTGCGACAGGGCAATAAGTTTTTAGATAACACCGTGGTGTTATTTCGGGACTCTGACAATGACTCTAGACGAATCGTTGAGGCTGCTGAGATGAAGAGGGACGATTTCATTCCCTCGATTGCCTTGACAAGCAAGAAACTGCACTTTTCAGACGGTGCGCATAGTGCAGTCGCATAATCCGAGCCTTGGCACCTTTGCAGATGCTACCGCACGATGCCTAACATAGTCTTCCCTTTGACCTTTTGCCGGCGCATATGCTCTGGACGCGTGTTAGTGTGAATGAACTCTGCACAGTGATAGCACAACTTTTTTTCTTTCGATTGTTTTTAATCTTGTCTAGTTTTCATGCTATTTCTTTCTGGTAGCTAATCCTATATATTTGGTGTTTCCTTGTATAAAAATTTCCGCTGAAAGTAGTGCTTGTCCCATGTCCTTCGCTCATCTTACGCACGTGCCTTTAGCGCTCACAAAAGTTAAGGGGAATAAACACCCTCCGACATGAGCTTTTTGCGCTAAAAGTGGAGCACCCACATTTGCACTTCGTGCTGGTTCCAGTCGCATATAAAATGCACCTACGTGATGTTGCAACAAAATGTGGTCTGTTGCCAATTCGATAGTCGCACTTCCATATCGGTGCTCAATTCTAAAGCACAGATCATTTTTGAACTTGGTTGAAAAAAAAACAACTAAGCCAATTACATTAAAGTAAATATGGTATACAATACCCTTATCTGTCCACGGAGTTAAGAGACTAGACATGGTAACAAGCTTGAAGTGTGAACCCACTCAGTGTATGTGTGAGCTTAGCAAATGTGCGAAGAACACAACTGTGCATATAATGCAGTGGCAGGTATAACAAATGCTGAAGTACATGAATGCTTTCACCCCAATAAATTACCAACAAGTAAAATGCACTGTGGCAGAGTGCAAAGTAGCCTCACCGAACTGCTTGATATGTACAAGCAAGGTATGAAACACTAGCAAGACCAGCTTCACGCAGAGGTAGTTTCTTGCCCGTTGGTTTTTGCTTGTTTCCTGCCTTCAGACTGTATACTACACAGCCCCTTTAAGCGCAAATTACGATGAACTGTCAACAAATGTCTGAACTTTGCACGACATTCTAAGATGCTCGATATTACATTCAGGTGCAGCGTCCACATATGTGGACCCTGCACCTGAAGAGGATAAGGAAAAAAAAAAGAAACACATTAGGCCAACTCACTGAGTACTATCCACACCAATCTTTGTTTCACTAATATGCGCCGAACTAGTGTGGCAAAGCAGACTTGTAAAAAGTGACTGCACAACTTCTAAAGTTGGCTTTCCCTCTTTGCTTGAACGCCTCGCAGTGAAGTGTGTGACAGTATACAATTGGAAAACAAAAGAGCACTGACAAAATTTTTGCTGTTGTTTTTTATATTGCAATAGGTGGCCAATGACCCACTGTAGTCATGATTGGAGAGCTTACTTGCACAAGCACACAATGGTCAATTATCCGGAGATTGTTTCGTATTGTACTTTTGGTTCCAGAGCACCGAATGATGCAAGACCCACAGTGCTTTTGATGGAGGGGATGCTACACAAAATTCAGCTTTCCTGCAGCCAAGTTCATATATAGGGCAGATGAAGCGCTGTATTAATGTCCGTCTAAGTGAGCATCGCAATAAAGTGTCTAAAGAAGCAGATAGGCATCTCACGGCGCACCGTCCAGACTGTGGTAGTGAACCATTTCTAGGTAACACCGCGGTATTGTATCGAGACTCGGGCATCGATTCCAGATTGATTGTCGAGGCCCCTGAGATGAAGAGGAATAATTTAGTTGTGGTTATAGCACTCCCTCGATCACCTTGATAAGCAGGGAACTTCACTTTTTTGAGTGAGCACATGGTGCAGTCATGAAGTGCGTGCCTTGGATCTTTTGCAGACACTATCGGTGTGATATCTAATAGTCTTCACTTAGACCCTTGCCTGCGCATAAGCTCTTGACAGCGATAGTATGTCTTTTAGTTCGGCTGTTCTCACCTTGTCCAGTTTTCCCGTTTTTCCTTTCTGGTGGCTACACCTATATATTTGGTGTTACCTTCCACTGAAATTTCAGTTCACAGTAGCACTTGTCCAGCGTACTTTTGTCTCACGTACGTGTCTTTAGCCCTTAAAATAGTTATAGTCATCAAATTGCGTCTTACATTTACATTAATTATCTCAGTTACAAAAGCCCTGCTGTGCCCAATATTGACATTTTAGACCCATGATTCTCAAATGGGCGTCCACAACTCCCAGAATGTCTCCTGACATTCTCATTTTTTTGGCATTCTTCACCATTTAGTGCTATTGTATTGATAGCTGTAAGCTTTTGTACTAGTTTTCTACGATATATACATAGCCCGCTTTTTTGCAGGCCAGCATAACATAAACTCAAATGCAGCCACAAACAGGTTCAATGTGGCTGCAGACCATACAACCAAGTGGCAAGCCAATGAGACAAATTGGATAGGTACATCAGATTAACTGTTCTTTGTCAGGTAGAAATACAAGGCACCTAATTCAAGCTGCATGCTGTTTCAATTTTATGGCCCACACTTTCTCTAGGTGCAAGAGGTCCCCCAATAACTTCCACCAGTCCACGAGGCGTCTCCAAAACATCCCTGACTGAGAACGATTGTTTTAGACAGTCTCAAAGACAGACCACTCACTCCAACTCAAATTGTAACTAACCTTCAGTGTCTCTTGAATAGAGCAAAGGCTCACTAATTCAACACCCATTAATCAGGGAAATCGGATGACTCAGATGAGCTACCTGGTCCCTACAAGCATACGTATTTTTCAACGGTATCGGACGCCTGTTGATTCGAACTGATTTCGCCACAGCCTGGCTAGTTCGGAGGACTCTTGAAGCACAAAGGCAAGCATGGATTGCCGCAAGTGTGCAATGCAGAGGGAGGCACGAAAACGACATTTACGGACTGCCCAACCAAGGAGGCACAGTCTGCAATGCCACTGTCATCAGCACGAACCATATGACAACAAGGGTAATGACAGTTCAGGTAAGGTGAGACAGGCAGGCACTGGTCACGATCACACTGTGAACAAAGTCACGAACGGCGAGAATCGTCGCTTTTACACTGCTCTTATGCCAACTAAGAAATGCATTTATGTGTTCATCAAGAAAGCGAAAGGCGATGTGACAGAACAGATATCTGCTTATTATACTCTTGGTACTTTTGATGTAAAATTCGGCTAATTTAGAAACGTCCTGCTCCCGCGGAATCCAAATAGACGAGGTGTTGCCGTTTAACCTTCGCTATGCTGCTTCAGCATAAAAAGCAGATGCTTACGGGTGTGCAGGTAGCTTGCCACTTGCTCGTGGTTCTGCGAGGCAACGTCGGTTGTGTCGCCCCTGGCACCACTCTGCGACCGCCGCCCGTTGGCTTGGCTGTAGGGCGGCCGTGACGCGCTGCAACAGGAATGAGAAGACGTTCAGGCAAACGAACAGCCACCCGCCAGTGGAGCTGTCTCTCAACACTTATATGGCCTAGTTACTTACAGAGGTGGTGCTAACAATTACGGTTGACCATTACACAAGCACAAGCGGGGTTCCGAAAATTAAATTAAAGGGCTTTTTTGGTTAATATCTCAATATTGCTGTCTTCATTAGCTTCTGACATTACTAATTACACTACAAGCTCAAGTGAACATCCTTCATATAAACACTATTTGCAACAGTATAAGCAATATCATAAGCGTGCATTTGTTTGTACAACTAACATACCCACAGTACTTTTATGTATATTACAGTTTTCAGAAGCAATGTACTCCCTTTTGCTTTGACTTGCTGTCTGCATTTTTTTTTACCCTTTGTGTACTTTCACCATGCTGAAATTCAATTGAAGATTAAACTATCTAAATAATAATAAAGAAAACAAATGATCATGGGGGGTGCTATAGCGAACGTTTGATCGATATGTGGGGTCTAACGTCCCAAAACCATCATATGATTATGAGAGACGCCGTAGTGGAGGGCTCCGGAAATTTCGACCACCTGGGGTTTTTTAACGGGCACCCAAATCTGAGCACACGGGCCTACAACATTTCCGCCTCCATCGGAAATGCAGCCGCCGCAGCCGGGATTCGATCCCGCGACCTGCGGGTCAGCAGCCGAGTACCTTAGCCACTAGACCACCGCGGCGGGGCTATAGCGAACGTTTATGAATGAATTCTGCGCACTTGGGGTTCATTACAGTGCACCTAAATTTAAGCACAAAGGAGTTTTTGTGTTGTGCACTTACTGAAATGCAGTCCCAATCATGGAGAGCCAAACCTATTCGCAAGTTCAATAGACTGTCACGCCACCCCGCAGCCGCCAGCGGCGCTCATAGCATGTGCATGTACGTCTTGGCAGGCGTTGGGGCTTCACTAGAACACTTCTGTTGTAGATACCGGGTGCACAAAGGTCGTTGCACAGTCTCAGTTTCCAAAAAGGGTGCGCTTTTAAGACACAGAGAAGTAACAACCGAGACGCTTATTCGCATTAATCTGTACCTGTGAGTACGTTTCGATCTGCTTGCCGTTCGGCGCGTGACCTTCAAATTTGTTGCTATCGCGTTCATTGCTTCGCCTTTGCGACAAAGCGATGACTTTTTTCAGAAATAAGTAAAAAAATATCGGCAATACAATAACTTAGCGAAATCTCACATCGGTAAGTGTCCGCTTAAACCTTAGGAGGTGAAAGGAAATACAGAATGTTATAACACTATTTGGGGTTTTGCGTGACAAACCTTGTAATGACCGTGAGGCACGCCTTTAGTGGAGGCAACGTGTATGGACGTCAATAACCACAACAAGTGATGTGTTTGGCATTCAGGACCTTTTTAGCCTTCAACGAGGCATCGTACCAGAGTTTCTGAAGCATCTAGGTGGCACATATTATGCTACTGCAAAAAGGGTAGAGCATCGTTGCGAAGCAAGAAAACAAAAAACACTGCAGTGCAGGTCGCACATGTGCTCAGCGACTCCGATATTCACTGTGGGCGCTATATTGAATCGCCCTGTGCGCCCCCTATAGGCGACGAAACTTGCTAATACCAAGCAGAATGAGACCAAAGCCACAGAACCACCAAGGCAGGTCAATGACAAAAAACAAGAGAAGCAAGCAAGTGCAACTTGCATTTCAGTGGGAACAATTTTGGCAAACAGCGGGGACTAAATTAAAAGAAGAATTTTTGTAGAAGCATGCAGTATGCTGTTGGGAGTTTGGTGCACACATGGGCTTTCTGTTCCTAGCACCCGCAAACAGGCAAGTAGCATTTCTAGTGAAACAAAGATAAATTTATTCGCCAAGTGTCGCACGTTGGACGCCCATAAAGCGCTGTGTAAGCATGACTTTCCAGGAGACATACATGTATTTTCTTCATTGCTAGCATTCATATTTGCTTATAGGTAGTTTGCCCAGAGCGACTCTCCTGTGTTTTTCTCACCCCCATTTCAGTTTTTTTTGGTTTCGTTAAATCAGGTGTTCGATGCGCTCAATCTGCATAGTTCCTGTTTGCAGTCTTCTTTAGCTTTGCAGTGCTGCCTTCATCAGCCATCATCGAACAAAAAAACTAGATGTCAACAGAATTGTCACAGCCGTAACAGCTCAACACATGTTTGGCTTCAATGGCAGTCTAAAATTGCAAAGAAACATTATACCCAAACAAGTAGTCTGCGAGAAAAACGTGACTATTGCGACGTGTTTTTCAGCATCTGGACGGGCAGTGGTTCAGATTACGCACCCAACCGGTCCCCGACTCACCCTAAACTATGTTGCCCTGAAAACAATTCAGTACTGTGTACTAGACGGTTGCAGGTTGAGAAACTCAGGTGGGACAAATTTGAATCCATTCCTGGAATAATAAACTTCTGGTCAGTCTATGAACTGAACTCGTATGCAGTTGAGTTGCGAGGAGGACCAGGCAATAGCAGCTGCAATTAGTAGCTTGGCTCGAACCTGACCGCTTCATACACAGGTAACGACTAATGCATTATGGTATGCATGAGCAGCCAAGGATCAACAAACAAACAGTCTTAAGGTATAACAAACTGGGTTGATCAAACAACCCTGAACTTTTTACATGAGTATATACAGTCATACAAATGTATGGCGATCATATAAAGACCGAACAGATATAGTTCGGTCTACTCTTAGTGCATCTCATTTAATAGTATCGAGAAAACCACGGCATTTGGGTCGCTGTAGGTTTTTCTAGTTATGTTGTTCCAGTTTTCTGGTTGATAATGTCATGCTCATTTCCTGAAGTTCTGTTATCACCCCGTTACACTTCAGCGCCAACCATGCCTACGATGTTCAAAAAGCTTTGAGGCTTTAGTAGATCGTTTTCTTAAAATTACGCCCCTTCGTGAACATTACAGGTTATTCTGGAACGTACGTCGCCGCTAGCAATAGCACAAGAAGCATTTGATGGCAAGGGTATAAATGCAGACACGCTTCCCCGCTTGCCAGTTGATCGACGGCGGACGCTCTGTTCATCGCTATCAGTGTCTTACTTTCCTTTTGCGTGGCCCCAAGTTCGGCCCGAATAAACCGTTGCTTCTTTGATGTGGAGTCTGCCGCCTTCGTTCAGGTCACGACCCCGTGACATTATGATGCTGCAAAGAATGCAGATATATTAAAGCTTTTTTTCTTCTCTTCAATCCTGCCTAAGTGACAAAGCTTACATTGGTATAAAACTATAATTTTCGGCTTTGATATCGTAGGACCCGTGTGACTGAGAAACAGTGCCCTTGCTATGGACAGACTGTCCTTTTTATGCAGTACTGCCAGTTCGTGCATGCTCTCCGGTAATGTCATTTCCCAGACCAGAATTACAGGCTGAACCAAGGAAAGAATGACTGAGTTATATAGAGGGAGATCAACAGCAAGGAGAACACACCATGCCAATTGCTCTTGACAGTTCGCCAAGTGTTTTCTATTTGGGGCATCGCACTACACTTTTGGAGGAGTCTACGTCATGTAATGTGAAAGACGACCATACTGCTATATTATTCAAATAACAGGGAAGCCGTTCTGCGTTACAAGCATGAAATAAACGACAGGACAAATCGAATTGTATGCAATGGGAGTGCACATTAAATCAAACTATAAGAGTGCCGCTGAGCAGCAGAGTGATTTCAGGTGATAACAGCCGATCCGGGCCTGTAAGTAAATACGCTTGACAGAACCCACCAAGCTTTCACAGTGAGGGCGGTGCTTATCGGGAAAACCCCTTATCTCTTATCGCCTGATGTTGTAGGACAAAAAACTGCAGCGATTTGAAGGATAACACAGCAGCGAATACGCATGACAGAACTGGCACAACCAAAGCTCTCGCAGAAAAGACGCGCTTATCGAAAGCCCTCCTTATATCTGTTATCACCCTACACTGTAGGAAACGAAACTATGCGCACGTCATAAACGACACACAGTCAACCACCGATACTGCATGCGGAGCCGAGGTTGCACGTTATAACGAAAACAAAAAAAAAATATTCAAGAAAATACGCGTCTGACCTCATTCTGTATCGCACAAAAATAACACTCGCCAGTCCGATGTTACACGTAAAAACAGTTGATCCGATACAACGTTCAGTCACGAGGCGAGCGAAGCAGCGGGTAAACATCGCCAATCACGTTCTAGCAGAACGGGTTTCTCCCGTTTCCCGAGCGAGAGTCGACCTAGATTTCCGTAGCCGGACGCAACTAGGCGCAGAACTTGGTTAAGTTAGTAGTAGTGGCGAGGAAGAAACCATCAAAAACGAAAACGCAAGTTCGAAGATATGGTATGGCGCTGGTAAACGTTGCGAACACGTACAGACAGACGACGGCGGTTGCAAGGCCGACAGCAGCACATTTTTGTGCACGATAATCCCTTTTCTCCATGACCATGCAAACACCCAGTCCTATCCCCGCTTTCTTTCGCCTGTTCGTCAGGTGCGCCGACGGGGAACCGGCCCTAAAAGGAACATTTTGTAACTGGCGCAAGGCTAGAAACGTGAAAAATGGAGGAGGAAAGCGGACTGGTTGGCAGTAGAGTCGACGTCGAAAGTTTGGAGACCGCAACATCAGAAAAAAACAAAGCCGAATATTGGCGTTTTCTCATCGCACGGAGCCTCAAATTCACGAGTTGCCGAACCGTTCTCGAAACGAGCTAACAACAGGTTGCACCAAGTTTGACCGCACACACGTACGCAATTGTGAGAAAAATTTGACGTTTTTTTTCGCAGACCTAGTGGTCTCTTTAAAAACTTCCCGATGCCACCTGCACGTAATTCACGAAGCAGCGCTGAGAACCGAACGGTCGGCAAATGAGCTAGACGGAACACAGCGCTAAACTGAATGTTTTCAACGGAAGAAAATGAACTTAGGGGCTGCTCTTGTTTTATGGGCCATAACGTTAATGATTCGTTAACTAATATTTGAAAGTGGGCGTGTCGGCAAACCCGTGACGCTGTGAATGCAGGCAGGCGTCAAGGTGACGGATCGGTTTATCACAAAGAAATCAATAAAAAAATGTATAGAAATGAAACGAGTGGGCTCGACTTTCACTTTCAAGCTCGCGAAGCTTACGTCATCCGCTTGAAGCGAGCCCTCTGGAACACGTCACACGTGTCAAACAAAAGAAACGACACGCCAAGGAGGCGTGACAGCTTAGCGATATCCCTTAGGCCTGACACCCTCCCCTTCGCGCAAGCGCAGCGCGAAGGGGAACGGCGTGCAATGTGTCACGTCCACTGGATGGCGGTACGCACGTTCGGGAGTCGAGCCAACGACCTCCGTCGCACAGAAACGATGCCTTTCTTACTGGCACAGGCGCTACCGAATTCCGACAACGTCCGACTGTCATCGAAAAAGAAATAAAAACAGGAAAACGAGCGAGATGGAACTCACCTCATATCGGCCGCTCGCTGAAAATTCGGCCCCCGTTGTTGTAGCGGCTGCTCTGGGTTTCCCGCCTTCTGAGGGTTGACGCCTGCGAAGAAGTCGGGGGGCCAAACGCTAAAACACACACGCCGAAGTGGTCAGAACCGGAGTACTCGCGGACTTATGTTTCGAGACGATAACACTGCTAACACAGTCGCTAGCCGTTTTTCATTCAAAGACCGCGAACACTCACTGAGAGAAAAAAGACACGCTCACGGCTTGTAGATCGTTGCAGACGCTCTTTCCGCACGTATTTTTCCCTTTGTGCAGACTCGGGAGCGAAATTCCTAGAGCACGGGCTACGCGCGGTACGTGTGGAAAAACTGGATCGACCCACAACCAACAACTCCTGAGAGGCGAGAGAACTGTCCGAGTTCGTGTTTTTTTTTCTTTTTCGTTTAAAAAAGATACCGCACGACTCGAAATCGTGCGTGCCTCTCGACTGGGAAAGGAAGTAGACGGAAGAACTCACCCGAAGAAGCTCGGGCCCTCAGCAGGGGAGCATTGTTCGCGGCTACACCTTTGGAGACGGCAAACATGCTAAGGAACTTCGTCTGCCTTTTGCTGTTTTTTCACAGAGATTGAAGCACGCTTTCACGACCACGGTTCGTCATTCTCACGATGTAGACGTGAGGCTGAATTTTGCAATGGGCGAGCTGGAAGCGGTAAATCTGCGGCAGCGGACCGTCCATTCACCAAAGCCACGGTAGCCTTTTTCTCTTTCGCCGAGCTGTCAAACAACCACAACAGTTGCAGCAGCGTCAGAGATTGTGTCTCTCAAACCGCCGCCAACTGAGCCACTTTGGCGCTGCGATCGGTAGCGACTGCAACAAGGCGTTCGCTGATGACGCGCAGTTGAGAGCTTGTATAACGCGAAAAGCATAGCCTTCAAGCTTCGCAATTGCTTTTAAACAGAAACTGGTTATTTAGTTGTGAACGTATATGCCAATACTGACCGTCAAGAAAGTGAAATTTGCACAAGAATATATTAATCCGTACATAAAAGTGAGGTTTTAAAGCAACACGACAAACAAATTGCTAATTAGTATAGATTCTAGATTTTGTCCAACACAGGACAACCATAGGTGTTTCATTTATATATACATATCTTAAATTTAGCAACGTTTTCAACAACTTGTAGTACAGAAAAGTATTCTTTTTTTTTGAGATCCATACTTTTTTACATCCAGAAAATAATCCCTGAATTTACACGAAAGACGATACTAAGTTGAGACAAGACGGAAGCAAGTCAAGATGGCGGCGTCCACAGCGACCGAAGAAAGTTACGACGAGGATTACGATTATCGCGGTGGTAGAAGAAAGAAGCCTTGCAGAGCGTGCTCGGATTTCAAGGCTTGGGCCAAGAGCAAAGGCGGAAGTACTTCCAAGCCAGCGGTACGTTTCAACTGCGTCGTTTCGCGATCGTTGCGTACAATGAATCACTCCGCTTCGGGGTGATGTAACTACGGTTGATTCGAGCGTAACGCCGTAAAGCTCAAGTTCACGTATCGCACCGTGCGGTATTTCTTGTCTACTAGGCTTAACGTTTGTCTGTGTTACCTATTTGCGTGAGCAACTTTTCAGAAAGCACGGCCCGGCTCTTGTGGAGTGGCCGGTAGCACATGTTTCGCGTCGTCTGCTACGGAAGTGCATTACTGGAAAGTTACCGAGTTGCACGAACGATACGTATGCGTTGTATCTCATTGATAACCGTGAAATTGTTTCTGTCACGCTTCTGTTTGAAATACGTTCAGTTGGCTTGTTCAAAAAGAAGCCGTTTTTGGAGCTGGGTGGCTTATCATAGGCGCGAAAGCAGGACACGGATTAACGCTTTGCAAGGTTGCCCACCAGGAGTGGAAGGGATTGAATCAGCAGGAATAATTTGCGTATTCGCGAGCTATGCGGGCGTGAAATAAACATTATCCTGTGCTGCGTAAAACAAAATCGACGAAAATCGCGGCCATAACAACGTATTATTATCAACGTAGTAACTATCAAGTAAATAATAAGTGCCTGCATATGTGACAAATTCAGTCATGTGCTATGTGTTGAGACGAGACGATTCAGGTGACTGTGATACAAAAAAAAAAAAAAGAGCTTGGGTGCTTTCGTTTACAGCTGCGCATGTTTTCACTGTAGAAATAATTACCGTTATTTTTCTACCTATTCTTCGAATTTGAACGATTTCTTATTATGCTTGAAATATTTTTCAAGAATGCGAAAACTTCCACTTGTTCCCGGCTTATTTGCACAAGTTGCGCCGTTTTCTTTAACAGCAAAGTTAGTTTCTTGTTCTAAAGTCTGCCTATAACAACTTTGGTCACAGTAGCCGCATGTTTGAACACCACTGAAGCATAGGGATGTAGCGATTCAGTGGTAACATGAAAGGAAATGCCGGCTGCGAGAACACCCCAAAGGAAGGGTCTGGGCAGATTTTTTAAAGGGGGGGGGGGGTGGCATTTTTTTTTGAAATCGTCATTTTTGCTCTGTATGGCATGGCGAAAGAAATTCGGAAGGGGGGGGGGAAGGGCATGAGCTTGGTGTGCCCCCCCCCCCTAGCTATTCAATGACCCGAACCGACGGCGATGAATCCCTTCGCGAACGACGATGTATGTGCCCGGGGTGCTATTCTGGACATTTTCGCATTCCGCCATGTTGTCAGATTTCCTCCTTTGATCGATGCTAATTGGCCAAGTGAGCTGCTACGACCTCTCTGATTGGCCTAAAATGTCGCCGTTACGAAATTTGACAATACGGCGGAATTTGGCAGCGGCCAGAATAGCACCACCGTAGATCCGTGTGCGCTGCGAACGCTCGGTTTCAGCGCCACTTCCACTCTCCAGAGCTTCGGACATCCGTGTCGTGTCTGCGACTGGCTGTGATTAAACTCTTTCTGCGCTCAGAAACAGCGTGCAAATAACCTATCGTCACCTCGCTAAAGCCTAGCAACAACTTGGAGAGGACTTGAGGAAAATTTTAAAGGCTCGTTTATTTGTTTGACACAATTTTAATGAAATACTAGCAGATATTAAAAGCCAAGGAACCTGGCTAAAGCTTAGCTACAGCCAGAGTCCTTTGAAGGACTCTGCTACAGCCTAGAAACAAGGTTAGACTTCAGAATTTCTCAGCTTCGCGGTTCGATTGATTGAGTGATTCTGGAAAGGAGGAAAGAAGGCACCTAATTTTCTGTCTGCCTCTCGGGCGACACGGCGCAGTGCCTGCGCGGTTTCAAAGGCCTGACCACAAACGCACCGGTTGTGGCGTGTGGCTTTTTTTGACGCGGGACCCGAGAAACTGTTCAACACTGCGTAGCCGCTAGCCCTCTCTCTCCATGGGGAGAGGGTCCTTTTAGGAGGGTGCCAACTTGGGCTTGTTGGTTGGCCATTGCTTGCAATCTGGCCCGTACAAGACGTAGATAACAGCATAGAGCTCACATTATCAACTTTTTTGCTAGGTGATTCTCGTCGATATGTACTAGCTGTCGTGCGCAATAATATAGTTTAACAAAATGTTCATAGCGCATGTCTGTGCTCTTGTCTATACGTCTTGTACGCGCCACAGTGTACTACGAGTAATCTTCTTAGGCTTCTTTGGGGGACGATGGTTTGCTCGCCTGAAGCAACTCTATGGTCACTTAGAAGTGTGGCAGCTTGGGCTAGTTGGTATGGCGTGACGATAGTTATGGCGCGAGAACAAGAACGACGACACGGAGACAAGAAGGACGTGTCTTTCGTGTCCTTCTTGTCTCTGTGTCCTCGTTTTGTTCTCGCGCTATCACTATCGCCTATGGTCACGGGACCTTGTGCAGGTGGCCGAAGCCGGTGCGACGGCCGAGTGTCCACCCGACCGGTCCGAACTGGGCCGGTGCACGTGGTCCCTTCTGCACTCGGTGGCCGCCTACTATCCCAAGAGGCCCAGCGCGGAGCAGCAGAGGGACGCCGAGCAGTTCTTCCGGCTGTTCGCCAGGCTCTACCCGTGCAAGGAATGCGCGCAAGACTTCCGGGCTGAGTGAGTCTGTCGTGGACAGAGCGGCGCTTGTTCTGCTCAGTTGATTGTTACGCTAATTTAATTAATTTGCTTGAACTAAAAGTTGAACTGCTTTTATAAAAAGCCATCCACGTATACGACGGTCTATGGTGGCTAAGGCACTCGGCTGCTGACCCGCAGGTGGCGGGATCGAATCTCGGCGGCAGCATTTTCTACGGCGGCGAAAATGCTTAAAGGGACCCACGACGGATATTTATGGTACCCGTCTTTTTTTAGGGGCGAAGCTCCTTAAGGCGTGGGCTGTGCGTCCCCTGTATGTAGCCACCTCTTGTTTAGTTCCTACAGTGTTCACTAGGCGGTACCATCCCCTGTATGTAGCCATCTCTCGTTTAGTTCTTGCACTGTTCAATAGATGGCGGTACTTGTAGCTGATGATGAAAAGATGCAAGATGTTATAAACTAGACGGCGGTACTTATAGTTGATAATGAAAGATGTGAGATGTTATAAAATAGGAATGATGTGACATACGGCGCGTGTCATTTGTGGAAGGCAATCGTTCGATTTTGTGCGGCAACGTACGCTAGGGGAAGCGTTGTAATAAAATCGAGTGGGCAAAATCTACGGAGAATTCATGGTTTACCAGGTTTACCTCCAGAGCTTCGCCCACTCATCATCATTCACATTGTGGATATGGTGGCACTTTTTTCTTTTTCTTCAGTGCAACGGAAGGCTTACCGGTCAGACCTTGTAATCGCGGAATGGTAACGCGGAAAACACCGTAGAACATTTATAATCAGAATTTTTCGATCTGTGGTGATTATGCAGTCGACATGCTGCAAACAGTTGATGTGATTGCGATAGAGATTATACGCCAGTGTAACGCCAGCAGTGATTAAAAGTGAAGACCTAAGTATAAACGCGTAATGTTGTGTTTGTCAAGCCTGCAGTCTCGCCATTACTGCTTTCTAGCGTGCTAAATTATTTTACAAGAGCTACAGCATTTTCCAGGGACTTCTTGTGCAAGTACTTTTGGTCATAGTTTCCTAAAATGAACTCTGTCGCTGCAATCATTCAGCGACCATGGGAATGCTGGTTAGTACACACATTTGCCTAGAATTCGTACTTGCGAGTGGTCAATCGTACTTGTGGCTTCGTGTATTGCTGTGTTTCGGTTTTGTTTTGAAAGAAAGATTCAACCCTTTTGAATTTCGTGGCCTGATTCGGAAATGTAAGTATAAAGGAATATGGTGGTGAAGCGCAATTGCTGAACATTTGCTGATTTTTGATTCGTTAAAGAAACAGCTCTAAGCCACACAAACACACACGGAGCCAAAGCAGGCCAGAAGTACTAATATTAGACAAATGTGTGTACTACCCATCATTCCCATGCTCGCTGAAGCGCCGTGCGTTGCAGCTCCCATAGACATTGGCGCCAGAGTTCCCTCTAGTGTATATTAGGAAACTCTATGCTTCTGGTCGTGCACAGGTCGTTCTTTCGACTTTAGCCATGTCGAGCTCAGCCAAGTGTTCGAAAACGAAACGCATGCCTTTACAAGTGATCGACAATTCACCCATGTTGCCCCGCCGTGGTGGTCTAGTGGCTAAGGTATTCGGCTGCTGACCCGCAGGTCGCGGGATTGAATCCCGGCTGCGGCGGCTGCATTTCCGATGGAGGCGGAAACCGTGTATAGGCCCGTGTGCTCAGATTTGGATGCACGTTAAAGAATCCCATGTGGTCGAAATTTCCGGAGCCCTCCGCTACGGCGTCCCTCATAATCATATGGTGGTTCTGGGACGTTAAACCCCACACATCAGTCAATTCTTTCCACCGGAATTTAATCACCCTTTCAGGTCAGTTGTGGGTTTAGAATTAGGTGCACGTTAAAGAACATCAGGAGGACGAAATTTCCGGACTCCTCGACTACGGCATCTCTCATATAATCGTATGGTAGTGTTTGGATGTTGAACACCAACTATTATTATTATTATTATTATTATTATTATTATTATTATTATTATTATTATTATTATTATTATTATTAAAGAAAAACTACGCGCATATAAAAAGTAGTTAACAGTTAATCGACATGAATCCCAAATGACGTGTCTCTTGAAATTTACAGGAAAAAAAAGCAACAAGAGAGGGTGATGCCACCATTTTTGTGCCTCGCGCGTTCTTTGCTGCAAGCGTTTCTTATATATAGGTTCAGGAAGCACGATACATGCACCAAGATTCAGTTATTCTCGGGAAATAAATTAATATCGCCTTTTTTTTAATGTCGAACATTTTCGGTTTCTGGGCGCATTGATTGATTTGTGGTGTTTAACGTCCCAAAACCACCCTTGATTATGAGAGACGCCGTAGTGGAGGGCTCCGGAAATTTCGACCACCTGGGGTTCTTTAACGTGCACCCAAATCTGAGCACACGGGCCTACAACATTTCCGCCTGCATCGGAAATGCAGCCGCCGCAGCCGGGATTCGATCCCGCGACCTGGTTTCTGGGCTCAGAATCGGGCTGTGACGTTGCATTGTAAGCTCGGGCGGGAGGCCACCTAAGGCTGTGAAGCGCGTCGGGCAGATTATCGTCTGCTCTCGCTGCATGGCTTCCTTGTTACGCGGGCAGACCAACCTCAGTTAGGACGAACAGCGTTTATACATTTGTAACCACGAAAGTGACCCTCTTCGCGACCGGAATGAAGGATAACTTCTTTGCGCAAAGTAAGTCACGTGATCACACAGCCTCGCGATCAAAAATATAGACGCTTACTAAGGTTCATCGTAACTGAGGTTAGCGTGCCCGTGTAACAAGGGAGCTAGGGGGCGCTGAAGTCAGACCCATACATTGACGTAATAAGTAGGGGGGTGTTCCGCGATCAACCTTTTTTTCTCCCTGAAACCTGCGCACACCTACGCTCACCGCAGATCTGGTGTGACGTCACGGCAACTGTCGTTGGCCTTCCAAGAGAGCTGCGACAGTTCTAGACCGCGATATTCTAAATGTTCGCTGTTTTCAATCGTTCGTGTGGAGTGCCCTATAGCACACAGAGGAAACCCACAAGAGGCTTGTATTAGCCTCGAAATTTGATGGCACCCCCCCCCCCCCCCCTCCTTTAAAAGCACTCGTATCTTAAACATCGCACTGATGAGGATACAAAGGTTGAAAGCCCGGGCCATCACCTTGCACTTTGAACGCAATATCAATGCGAATCAAAAACGCATACAAAGCAGTCCATTGAGAGCGTGAATGACCCGTTCACGCACATCCCCAGAGTAAACAAAGATACGGCAGTAATTAAGCAACTTAATTAAGTAAAGATGGGAAAGCATGGCGCAGCACTTGGCTTTCGTGATTTGTTCTGGACTGTGGAGCATATTACCGGGTTTTCCTACAATATTTTCTTCAGGAAACTCTGGCACAATAGTGTCTATGGGAGCTGCGACGCATGGCACTTCAGGCATCGCGCGAATTATGGGTTCGTCTGACCCGTCTAAGCCTCGTTTTTTCGGCTTTGTTCGTCTCCGCGTGGCCCAGGGCCGCGTCGTCGCTAGACCAAGTTCAGCAAACGTTCAGCAGTTCTGTATACACTTCACTATACCTTGACCATTTAGGTTATAACCGATTCAAACCGGGTCACGAAGTTTACAGCGATACGTTCCGCTGTCCGAAACAAACACCAAAACAAAAAAAGAAAAATAAACGAAGCCGCAAGTAGGCCCGAAGACGCGCTAGCACGGAGATTACGCAAATCCGTGCGTCATACACCCACCATTGCCATTGGTCGGTGAACAATGACAGCGCCCTCTGGTAAATACTGTAAGAAAATCTATAGGGAACATACCAGGTCTCGCTGGTATGTTGTTGGTCGTACCGACGCCGTTGGTTTGCTTGGGAGGTCAGAAGGCGAGCACGAGCGGTTTCGCGTGCGTGGGCGGCCCGGCTGATGGCGTCCAGAGCATATTGTGAAGTTGGAGCTGCTGGTAACGGAATCGTCGTATCGAGGGGTAATGTGGGTTCGCGGCCGAACAGCAAGAAAAAAGGGGAGTAACCAGCCGTGTCGTGGCGCGAAGAATTGTAGGCAAATGTCACGTATGGTAAAGCGATGTCCCAGTCAGAGTGATCTGAGGAAACGTACTTTGCAAGCATGTCAGTTAGGGTTCGGTTCAGGCGTTCTGTGAGGCCATTTGTTTGCGGATGGTACGACGTAGTGAGCTTGTGGCGTGTTGCACAAGAGCGTAGGATGTCCGCTATGACTTTCGATAGAAATGTGCGGCCTCGGTCCGTGAGCAGCTGGCGTGGAGCACCATGTTGCAAGATCACGTCGTGTAGAAGAAAATCGGCGACGTCAGTGGCGCAACTTGTTGGAAGGGCGTGTGTGATTGCGTAGCGTGTGGCGTAGTCTGTGGCCACAGCTATCCACCTGTTGCCAGCAGAAGACAGAGGAAAAGGGCCGAGTAAGTCCAAGCCGACGCGAAAGAAAGGTTCTGTAGAAATATCGAGTGGTTGAAGGCGCCCAGCCGGAAGCGTCGATGGTGTTTTGCGGCGCTGACATTCCTCACACGCCGCGACGTATCTTCTGACGGACCGTGCCAGACCTGGCCAATAGAAGCGACGGCGAATCCGGTCGTATGTGCGGGACACACCCAGGTGACCGGCAGTAGGAACGTCATGAAGTTCGTGGAGTACAGCCAAGCGGAGGTGTTTGGGTATGGCAAGCAGCAGAGATGGGCCGTCTGGATGGAAGTTATGCCGGTATAATGTGCCATTCTGGAGTACGAACGAGCGATAGGATCGGTTCGATGGGGAGGAGTCGAGGCGCTCAATGATAGCTCGTAGGGCTGCATCACGGCGTTGCTCGTCGGCTATGTGGTTCAGTTGAGAAACGGAGCACACGCAGGCGTCGTTGTCAGGTATGGTGGCCGATGGGTCAACTGGATAGCGAGAAAGGCAATCGGCGTCCTGGTGCAGGCGTCCAGACTTGTATATCACAGAAAAGGTGTATTCTTGCAGTCGCAGAGCC